TACCAAGAGATGGGTTTTTTTTCCTCTTTGCATGACATCTAGAAAAACTTTCAGGAATTGCTGCATTCGGAAAACCAAAATGTCCAGATCCATTAATGATTCCTTTGCCGGATGAAGTCAAAGTATGGTTACAGTGGTCAATTTGATTGACAAGCTACATACTGATTTAGCTAACTGATCTGTTTTATAAGCGTCTCATCTTAAATGCTAACATGGAGATTTGCTATTTAGTTAAATTGTTCGCTGGTGGAACTTGTGGGTTTAGTTATCAAGAAGACCTAGTCGTTCCCTTGCGTGATTGTTAAAAAGACATTTCATGTCACTTGCAGAGTTGCAAGTTTTCAGATCCAGAAAATGAAGTTGATCTGGTTTTGTCGCGTGCCGGCATCTTCGAGACGCCAAAAGATATCGACGATTTTACAAATTGCCCCACTCACAGATCAATTCTCGGTGTTGGGTGGAACCGTAGTTCCAATAGCAGATGTAGGGTGCCAAAAAAAATTTCCGGCAATGGTAAAGGTAGGGTTAAGTCGATTCCAAAAGCTGATAGGGGAATTAGCAAGCGTGTATCACAGATAGTATTCAAGATGTCTGGAAAATTCATACAATCTGGCTTCGGTAAGTAGGCTACTTACCACCGTGAGCAAAATTACGCATGACGTCAGAGTTAAGTCTCGATTGGGAATTGGTCAATAGGCTACCAAAAATTCAGACAGAGGCGGAGTTTTCTGAAGTAACGTCTGAACACTTTCGCTTAGCTTTCCGCCGTATGGGGGACGCGTAATTATGCACACGGTGGTAAAGTGCCCTTCCGCACTAACGACTAGACGCTGACAAAACATGTTTCTCTTCGCCAAAATTACATCAGAATTTGTCCTTGCTAAATGTCAAGTGTGCTGCACGTATTAGCATCCCCAGGGGACCCCTTTACATAAGAAGGCGGGGGTGCGCGCCTGGAATTCCGAAATCTATCGCTATAAAATTATAAAAGGTGCTTAACTCTTATCCGTGTGGGAGTGGTAACAATTAGCCTGTAAAAACAAGTGCTTATGTCCTTTTCTGTCTTTTTCAGTGCTTCCCTCGCTCCTACAGAGGATTCATACAAACATGAGAGCCGTGCCGCGTTTACATTGTACAGATAGAAAAGGTCGTCCAGAATGAGTCTTTCGTTCTGTAATGAAAATCCCAATAAACTCACTCAGAAATGACTCATTTCGAATAAATTTTACGCTGGTTATTATGTGGCAACCGGTATGAACTCGTTCTTGTACAAAACTCATTCGGATATCATGTAAAAGGCCCCTAAAAGTTTTTATTCCCAGAGCATCACGCTTTGCTCGCCTGTCTGAATACTAAAACTTTCAGTAGCGTTGAAGCAACAACCCGCTTTTAACTGCTTCGCTGCCGCTGAAACAACGATTAGTGAAGAAAGCACATATTTTAATATTTTCAGTTCAACGTAAATAAAAATCTTTATAACGGTAAATATTCACTTGTGTCTTGCGTGACTAGCTTATGATATAAATGAGGGAGGGGAAAACACAACGCAAAACCTGAGTTCCTGTCAAAAAGTAATACCCAGACGTAATAAAATAATCGAAGCGGCTAATAAAATCATGAATAACAAAAAGGTAAGAGTGTTATGTTAGACTTTTTTACAAATTGTAGTGATTTGTGCTAATTAACGGTGGCGACAAGTAGGCGCACCATGTACATTTCATAGTCGCTATCAAGTAAATTTTGCCGGACTTTGAGTTCGTCTCAAGATAGAACAACGCAAATACACAAGGAAATTTTTACAGTAACTTTCTAACCATCCTTTGGTCTTTTAAAAGCTTGAAGCTCAGTAGATTGTGTCATATCGGTCATTGTTAAAACTGTCTTTGTTTTGATGCTACTTTTCGACATAGGAAAAGTATGTCGGACAAAAATATTCACCAAAAAATAAATATTTCTTTGGCAGCTTCAATAACGACAGGGGATTAAGTTTAGATGATAAAACAAAGAATTATGTTCACAGAAATACCGTAGGTCTAGTACATTCGATACATGAGGTCACACAACTCGGGTAATATTCACGGTGAAAATTTGCATATTTGAGCGGTCGAACGAAAAAAATTATTTCTCGAAAACTAAAAAATATTTTCGCAAAAAACTACACCACAATTATTAGAACATATTGGGCTACAAAATATGAAAGTAGGAGAGAAAAAGAATTTTGGGCGACTTGCCACAATATTTCAAAGTTGTTCGATGGATGCTGACATCCTCTCTTAAGTCATTTTCGGATGTCAAGAACTACAGTCAGCTGTTTGGAGCGCCTGTTAACTACTTGCCAATAATCCAATGACCCGTCTTTAGATCACGCAGATCAGTGATCCGATGAATCCTTGTCCAGAGTGGATTTGATAGACCACTGATCTGAAAATGGATTTGCTCGAAAGGAACGTCACAGATCAGAAATCCAGATCCGGATTCTTCTAAAGGAACGCACCCTTACACACGCAAGTGCAGCAAACAAACGAGCAGACCCTTACAATTTCAAAATAAAAAATTTGAATTTACTTAAATCTTCGTACATTAATTAATCGTCGGTGAGAGTGAATGATACTTTCCGTAAGATCATTGACTGTATTTAAAGAAAACATTGTCGTGCCAGTCCATACCAAACTAGTTTCGTTGTTTTTCAAAAGTAGAAATGTGCTTTCTTTTTTCTCATCCGCTCTCTAATTAACAGGTGTCAGATTGTGACAGATACTTGTTAAGATGATGTTTCAAAGTTTATTTGGAAGCATTTTAAATCACCCTTATCAATAATTACAAAAATGGAAATGTTTCGGTGAGGCAACTCTCTTTAATTTCCCTCACCTCTATTTTGCTCGCTCAAAAGTTGGGAAAATTTCCGCACAGCCCCATACTTCATTATGCATGCACATCTTATTGGTGATACACTGAATAATAAAGCCTCATATATGGATGCATGATGAAGTATGGGGTTGTGCGGAAATTTTGCCAAAAATTGTTCAGTTTATGGACGATCTTGCCATATTTACAGCCCTACATCATTTGGGTTCTTTCGGAAAAAATTTCGTTAAGTTTACCAAAAAAATTGTTATTTACCGGGTAAGGCTCGGTCCGTAAGGTGAAAAACTGTGACCTTGGTCTTGAAAATGCTGCCTTGTGACCTCGGTAGGCCTCAGGCAGCATTTTTTGAAGACCGAGGTCACAGTTTTTCAACATACGGACCGACCCTTGGCCGGTAGATAACATATATTTCTGCGAATGCTTTTCTCAGATTCAATGTAATCACAAACACATTCCATGCGTGACGAATATGTCACGACATATGTAGACTAAACATAGGCATACTATGCATGCAATAGTTATTTTTGGGGGGGTGGGTGGATTACTTGAAGCATTGTAACTGGTGTCTGCATTCTTACAGAAAGAAAGAAGAGTATTAACGCGGCAAAGAACGAAAATGTCAAATTAGCTCATACACAGGTATTTTGTGGTAGATTGTGTGTGTTGTGTGAATAACTGTAACCAAAAATAAACTGTATTGGTACCACGGATACCTGTTAGTACAAAATGCAGACTGCAGACTGCAGACCGGATACTAAATGTAGACTAGGTACAAAATGTAAACTGCAGACTGCAGAGTGGGTAAAAAATGCAGACTGAGAATCTAAAGAGTTTTTTCGTCTGGTATGTGATAACATATCATCTTACAACTGACCGAGCGTCACACAATCGCTTATCCGCGGTCAGCTTTCACTATTATTTGCACTATCTTGGAATATTCCTGGCCCATTTCTTGATGAAAATCGGTCGTAATATAATTTCAAGCCTTCATATAGTCTTCTCTTTTTTATCAACGTAATAAAAGTAGATGTAGATGTAACCGAGATGTCACTATTGAATATTTAACAAGCGCAACATTCGAGAAACAATTAGCAGCTTTGCACGTAGTCCGTATTATCATCTTTTTAAGCGGTATGTGTTTATTTTGTTGACAAAAATGCGGACTGAGACCAAAACTGTTCCTTCGACTCGATATATTTTCGACGTTGGTAGATCACATCATATTAACTTACCTCCGTAAATCATTCATTCCAATTCCAGATAACAAAATCAAATACACATGCAAACGATGGTATCTGAATTCAAAGCATGGTTAAATTCAGATACGTGGACAATTCAGCCAATCAGATGATCAGCTTCTCCTCACTCATGCAGTATGTTTTGTAGCAGTCGCTACACCAAAGGTCCTTGGATGGTCTAAAACCAAAATATTGTTCCAAGACATAAACGGCTGGAAAAATGTAAGACTACTCACCGGCCGAACTATGCGATCGAAATTAGGGGCGGTTTCAATTTCATTCACCATGTTAGGTTGTTTTTAGCATCACCTTACCTTGTACATGCGCTCTACATCTGCCGAATTCACGAGGGACTAAACAGTTCAGAGCCCTTTCACAGGTTGGAATAGCCTTTATTCAGGATATTTCGACATTTTTCTAAGCAAATTATTACTACAAAAGACACAAGGGTAGTAAAAGCTAGTTACATACACGATAAATAGCATACGGTACTGCAGGATTTTTTGAAAATACATGTGCTTCGACCAATTTTAACTAGAACTGTAAATAGACTTTGAAACACCTTATTTGAAGCACGCTGTTTAAAAGATGAAGCGTTTTGATTAAACTGATATTCATAGCACAGGTCGATTGACTCTATGGCCACTCACCTCTCCCCCTGGGCCTTCTATCTAATCTCTTTTAGCTCTATATCCGACAAAGGGAGTTTAATTTATCACAAAATCACTACTACCATATTCATTATTAATAATATATTCGTTAATGTTACCGTTAACTTTATAAACCAGATCTTGTCTTTTTTTTTTCAATTCACACTTCTTACTTTATATAGTTATTTTCCAATGTATAACACGAATTAACTGGCAAAATGACAAAATTATGCAAAAGATGGCGATCGTGATCTTTCTCCTTCACTTTTCTCGTATTAATAGCTGCAAAAAAATTTCCAAAAGCTATCCACAATGGTCACACTGCAACAGAATAAATTAAAGGAAAAGTGGGTTCATAGTTGTTAGAGCTTTGTAAATTTCTTCGAAATAATGCAGCCGAGCGTGGTGCATACACTGTAATATTCCTGTCATTATGTCAAGAAGCGCAATATAGGGATTATTCTATCTAGAGAAAATATCTGAGTGCTACAAGGTCAGTATTATGCTCAAGTGGAGACCTATCATTTTCTGCAAAAAAAAAACCCTCTCCAAAGAGTGGGATACACTTACTTGACGCGCTGATTACTGTGGAGGGTAAGGTGGCACCCCACCTGGTTGTCCAGTGGGGTAAGGAGGTGCTCCGCCCGGTTGTCCGGGGAGGTATGCTGCCTCACCCCCGAGGGGTTCAAGTGGGTACGGTTGTCTTGAAGGAGGGTATGCCCCAGATTTTTCTGCAATTCAAGCATAAAGTTTCGGTTTCAAGGTCCCATCCCTCCGAGAACGATGTGTATCATCTACAGCGCAGAGAAGTTCTGCATACACATCTCTTTCAAAGATTCTCGGAAGCTTTTAAGTATTCACTTAGGCATGAAATCAATTCTCTGTACTTATTGATTGTACTTTCAGTTCATGTAACAACGTCTGCCTTCTTTTACAGTGTTGGTAGCCCTACTCAATTGTAGCCTTTGGAATGGACAGTTCAATATCGACAGGTTCTAGGTAGGGAAATCAAGTGTTCTCTCAATTGGACTTTTTTCAATTCTAAATTTTAAAAAAAGTTAAAAAATGATAGATAAATAAATTGGATTCAAGAAGTGACGCTTCCATAGGGTGCCTATTTATGCATTGTTTCACAGATCCTCCTGGGATTTGTAGTGTTGGTTTCTTGTGGAGGAGGGAAAAACAGAAAGCTGGGAGAGAGGACCCCCCCGCCCCCCCAGAAAGGACGAGAACTAATAACAAACTCAACCTACGTTTCGTCCTAGGTTCAAGAACTGAACCTGTACCACAGAGGTGGAAAGCAAGGACTCTCAACCCTGAACCATCCTTTATCCCCAATCTAGACTTTGACTTCCTCTGTTGGACCTTGACAATGAGATGACCAACAGTTTCAATCAACTTACCTTGTGTGGGGTAAGGAGCTGCCGCCCCTTGATTGTAGGGGGGTGGTGCGTAACCTTGCTGAGGCCCTGCAGAAGGAGGGTACATGGCCACTTGCTGAGGTTGGGCAGTAGTATATGCCACAGCCATCTGTTGTGGCGCCCGTGCCCTGACTCTCTTTTGGTGAACATATTTGTAGAAGACGAAGACACCAATGGCAATCAGAACAACAACTGCCACCAAGACGCCAATCACAATGCCAACAGTTTTAGCGCTAACGGAGGCTGTTCAATAAAATAAAAAAATATACTTTCTTACTTGCCGAGCTGTGGAAAGAAGAATTAAGGATCTCCTAAAGAAGTCCGAAAGGTCAGAATAGCAACACCATAGCCAGTTAGAATTATTCTCAATCAAAGCTTTGAACACCTGTAACCCAAAAACATGTTTCATTTTAATATCCTACATCATGAGTACACCATCGTAGGAAAAGTCGAATAAAAGAACGCAGGGCTTCAGATTTGAAACCACACAGTAATATCAATCCTCCGATTGTTTCCCGAAATATCTGATTGGTTTATGTCTATCATTTGATGTTTCGGTCTTAAAGGGCATGTAAACCCCAAAAACGTTCATTTTCTTTTCACATAGATGTTTAGTAAATATATCAAGTACACCAAAGGTACCATTCGTTTATTCTCAAAAGTCCATTTTCACTTTGTAAAAGCTCTTCCAAATTCGAAACATTCGTAAATGGCGCCATCTTTCCTGTGACGTCACGGGTGGACCCTCCAAAGTCTCGTTTTATAATCGCGTGAGGCACGAAGGAGTCTTTTCTACAGCCGTTGTTTGCTGGTCTCGTCATGATTTTTTTACTTACAGTTTGCTTCAGTATATTCGATTTTTTCGTAATGGTGAAGCGTTGTGTCGTCCAGTTTTGCACTGATTCAAACAAAACTGGGCATACAATGCAAATATTCCCAAATGACGCAAATTTGAAGCGACAATTTGTGAAATTTGTTCAAGTGAAAATAGCCGATTTCGTCGAGCCGTTCGAACGTTCTGTTGTTTGTAGCAGTCATTTTTCTTCCTGGTGCTGTACCGACGATTCAGGCCTCACCAGAAGCAAATTATTCGGAAGTATAAAAACGACCCATACAGTCGGCAGACGACGAGGATTCGGAAGTGGCCGACCGAACTGAGAAAGAAGTTGAGCTCTTCAAAAGTTAGAGGTCAACAGAGAAAGTACAAAATCGATTTACATGAAAACGTTTCGTTAATTAAACAACAATAGCTTTATTGGTTCTCTAAAAACATCTTTTTTCTCATCTAATGAAATATTATGGGGAAGCCAGTTGTTTGGGAGTCAGCGCTGAGCCCGTAAAAGACACTGACATGTCTGAACCTTTGCCTGAATTCGAAACACGTGTCAAAGAAAGAGAATTCGTTGATATCAGTGTGTAATAACGTGATCTGGAATTTTGTCGGTTCGATACAAAGAATTCTATACAGGATCCCATAATCAACCCTTATGTTCTATAAGAAAATCCAAGGCAGCCCCGCTTGGCGCTTCCTTTGAGAAACCCTGCAGAGAAACAGCAGAAGAATTTGTGTCACGGTTTTCACAGCAGTGAAAATACATTCAAAGGTCAGTAGGACAATATTCATCATTTTGAGTACAACTTAAAAGATCCTGATTTCAGCTTGCAAAACTATCTTTTCAATATTTCAAATCGAAGCCAACACAAACAGGGTTGGATAATTATGAAGGCCACACAAGTAAATGTACATGATACAACTTGTTTATCGATGGAAATGCTTGTGAGATGAAGGATATTGTTTACCGCACAAGATAGCACAACGACCCTAAAGTGTTTGCCGAAGTATCCCCAACACCAACGAACAAGCTATCTGTAGGCAATTTAGCGAAATTTCCTGCCAGGAAAGAAGCGAAAAACAACTAGCTCTAGTACTGTATTATTAAATTAATGGCAGAAACAACTCAAGTAAATCGATCTCAAAATGTAACAAAACAGATGAAACAGAAAATATTTAGCTTAGTCGTTTCCGGTGTGATTATCTGTGCTTTGCTGCTGCCTGTACACGTACTTGGCCGTCTCCAGCACCCAGAAATCGAGACAAATTGACTGAAAACCTGGATGCTCAGTGATACAACTTATCTGGGTTTCAGGCCATTTTGCCACAATTGCCCGATTTCCTTACAACAAACGCTTTCATGAGTTGTCGGCATTGGTTGACAAGTTCCACACTCGCACCTTTGATAATTTTATATAAAACAATTTCAGAAGCTCAAGTTAAAAAAAATTCTGTTGCATTCCTTTAGATTGTACCCTCGCTTTATTGCATTTTCATGTTAAATACAAATAAATCACAAAGTAAATTAAATACCAGTCTGAGTTTCCGAGACGGTCGCATCGCTGTCGACATGTTCTGTACTATCTTCGTGCGGATCGCTTCGGTGAACCTTACGCGGCTCAAATTGTTAAGGACGTGGCCCAGACTCTCCTGAAGATTCTGGATTATCCCCAGCGCTGTCATGTACTAAGCTTAAGGCATTCGAGTCGCTATCTTCTGAAAAAACATCTTCCGAACTACCGCTACTTACAGGAACTCCCACACCAGTTCTACTGGGGAATATGTGTTGCGCAATATTTTGGTTCCACCGCTTACGTCACGACCTCTCGCTATTGTTTTTACCGGAAATGGAATTTCAGTTGAAAATGCCGATTTTCTCCTAAAATAAGTCGAATTGGACAAAACTAATTTCAAATTCGTTTTCTACGCCACTTTTTACATAGTATAAGAAAAACATGTATTTTTGGGTTTACATGCCCTTTAACAATGGTGGCTTATCTTCCGGAAGGGAAAAATAGTTCTCCATCCAAAATAACACGCCGGTACTACATGCTTCATACAATCTTAATCTCAGCATTAATTCTCTTCTTTTTCTTTTTGACTTCATCAACCTCTTCCAGCACGCACTTTCTTTTTTACCGTTCCGATTCAGTTTTTCTTCTGCCTTTCTTGATCAAGGTATTTCTCGTACCGTTGTCTTGACATCTTGACTAACAGCAGCAAGGGCTTGCTCAGTTCAGTCTTCAATACTCCTCCCACACTGTTCACAGGGTCACAAACAATCCTTTGAGCCACTAGAGTATGTTCCTTCATATTCTTAACTTCTACCTTTTTGTTGACACTCAAACCTCTCTCAACTGTTGCCTGACCATGTGACAAAATTAGGATAAGTTTTACAACACTGAAAAGACTCTTGTAGCTCTCGTTTGCCATACATTCAAAGAAGAGAGTATCCAATCTGTCTTCCGCTGATTGGAAGTTAGCAAATCTTTCTGACCCAAAAACTGGAATGCTGTCCAAGAAAATAGCAAACTGTTGCAGGATAGTGTCACATTCTTCCTCTTTAACTCTTTTAGCATTAACTAGCAATCTCAGGACTTTCTTGAATTTTGCTGAACAAGCTTCCTTGTTTGAGGCAATTTTGACTGGATTTAGACATGACAAATGCTGAAAAAGGGAATAGGACGCTGGACTCTTTTCCAACATCTTCTCCAAGACTTGAATGAAAAAAGTTTTTCTTTCCATCCTAAACTCTATAACCTGCCTCTCACTTGGTTTGCAATTACCAATGCCTTTCAACTTTTCACTAGCAAATCCAACATCAATTCTCTTGTTATTCACATGAATCTTCTGGTCAGCAACTTTGATCTTCACTAATTGTTCATCACTAGCATCTTGAAGTATGTCACTTTTAATAAATCTCCTCATCAGAGACCTAATGATCATACCTAGATCATCACTGACAAATGGTAGCGTAGGTTTTCTTGTTTGATACTTTGCAAGAAATAGCTGCAGTTGATTTGCAATGCACTTAAAGAAGTGTACCTAGCTACAAAGCATGGGTCTCATGGGTCTCCTTGACAACTTCATATGATTTGTTTTGGGGCCAGTTTACCCTTCAATCTTCTGTAGCTTTAACATAATCAGCTACATTGTCCCAAAGCATCAGCGCTCTTTGGCAAACTGTTACATTCTCAAGCCATCTATAGGAGACAAATTTCAATGGCATCAAAGGGCTGCCAGATATGGAGATGAAGTCTTCTCTTCTGGCAGGAGCATCCTTAAAGAGATAGTACAAACTGGAAAGAAACGAAGACACTTGCCATCCAGTACCATCCATGCCTCTTTTAAAACTGTTGTGCAGTATATGCACACCACAAGACCTATTGTTTACGAGAGTGGTACCATAGTCAGTGTTAACTTTCTTCTTTAATTCTCCATAAAACTTCCAGTTAACACTTGGACCATCCGTGCTGACCTGTATGATGTTCTTAGCTTGCAAACCACTAACACACTTTTGGTGAAATGATCCATTAAGTTGTCAGCAGTACACACGCACAGCACACACAGCAGTACCATGGCCTACATTAACAGTAAACGATAAAATTTTTCATCAGCTCCTTCATAAGCACCTAAACATCAGCGCACAAGGTAAAAGAAGAAACAATATTTTACCTAGTCCATAATTAAAGACTCCACACTCACCAAGAAATTCACTGTTGAAATATTTTGTTGTGACTTAGTTGGTTTGATCATTCCAGAACCTCACATGGGCATCCATTTGCTTCTCCTGCATTTTTGTGTTCAGTCTTTCATCAAACAATACAACAAAAGGTCTACTGAAGCTGTCTTGGAGCAGCTTTTTGAAGTGTTCAGCCAGACCAAATACACAACAATACCCTGCTTTTTGCTCTCCACAAGCAAATTTCCTAGCAATTTGACTGTCAGGGAACATTGCTGAAAAGAGTTGAGAAGTGTCCTTGGACGAGTTAAATGAATAGTGACTTGTAATAAGTTCCAGTATCCAGAGTGTTACGGCTTTAAGCACATTATCCTTAGTCACATGTCCTTTCATAGATGGTTGTGATCCTGGAGTTGCATCGTCTTGAGGCAGCAGAGGGATTGTCATTACAACTTGTTGTTGTGATTGCGATGCTTCTGCTTTTCCTGCTTCAGCTAAAATTCCATTTCCACATGGTACAAAGCCGAATGAGGATAGTGTCATTGGCTGTTCACCTTCAATTCTACTGTTGTTTTTGTGCCCTTCACTTTTCATGTGAAATTTCAACGCAGACTCTTCCATGTTTGAAATGTCGACCATTCGATCGCAACATTTGCATAAGGCCTTTTTCCTGTCAGCTTTAAAAGCAGTCGACCAGCCTTTGTACTTGGAATTAAGTTCCAAATTCCGATTGTAATAGTTGACCTTTTGAATTCATTTAAGACACAATAAACAGGACCAGAATCGAATAAATTTCACACTTTGAGCAACATTTCCCTCATGGTTTCAATTGTTTAGAGGGGGGGCGGCACAACAAAGATGAGAAACCCCACTGAATGCGCGGTTACTTAGATGATTTGAATAAGAAACACTGATTTGTCCTTCTATAAAAAGCTTCGCCGTTTTTGAGATGATAAATGAGTTTCTCAACTGATGTTAGATGCTAACGCAATCTCTTCAACCTTTTTAATGCCAAAATGAACTTATTTTGCTGTATTCTTAGGTATTCAAGGACTTTTTTATAAAATTCAAGCACTGCTTCTTCAAATTCAAGGAGTTTTCAAGGAGAAAATCTTTTGCAAGGAGTTTTCAAGGGCCTAGCATTTTTGAAGGAGTATTCCAGGCCCGTGCGAACCATGTACTAGCACTACTCTTAGTTTGTTATAGCAAGTATTGAAACTTTATATTCGAGTGCACAGCGATGGTCAACAACATAATTACTGCTTAGAAATTGCTGTTCCTTTTTTTCCAAAACTGATCAGCCTCTTGAGAAGCCTGAATGAGAGGATTACTTCCTGGCCGACATTACTTTTCAACTGTACTATCAATAAAATGTCGTAAAGTTGAATGTATTTGTAAAAAAGAGCAAACAATTCAGGAAATACTTTAGAGCCTTCAAGGACTATTTGCGCAGTACTAACTTTTATCATACATGACGTAGCCTGCAACAAACCCACGGTGGTTAGTGAACCTGTCTGACTTGAATCTGATCCAAATTCTCTCCTTTGATGACATTAAGTAAAATGGGTCTTGTTCACCACAGTTCGACTCTTTGAGGGTGTCAGACTTGTCATACGATTCATGATCATCTCCGTCTTAAAGGAAAAAATCATAATACAATTTGAGAAAAATTAAAATTTTACTGCCCTATTTCAGTTAATTCTGACTTCCATGACAGTTAATTAATGGCTACAACAATTTACTTTAACCCATATGTTTTCCTCTGATCTTTTTCCTTATTTTCCATGAAACATATTGGAGGTTATTACATAAGATACACTTGTGAAAACATGTTCTCTTAAATATGTAGTTTGGGTTTTTAAAACATGCGGAAACAACAATATCTAGTGAGTTAGGTTACAAATGTTAAGTGCTGAGGACTCATTCTGATGTGTTCAAATAAAAGAATCAGAGGCATACAAGTATACAAGTTGTATGACTTCATGACTGTGGCACTGCATTGAAATAACAATTAAAATTATATAATAAGCTGAATTAAACATACATTTTGATTGGTTCTTACTCATGAACTATTGGAGAACAAACACAAAGACAGTGTCACCATTGGCAATGTTTTGTCTTTTAATTATAAAACAAATAGATTCGATGTTGCGGGGGGCCTGCACTATAAAAGATCACAAAAGACATCAAAATGTGTTCAGAAAATCAATGACACACTTTGCTGCACTTCTCCTGCTACTTTTTCGTTCTTATCACATTTTGATGTCTTCTATGATCTACTACTGTAGCAAAGACTCACATCAACATTGAATCTGTTTGTTAATTGGATCGTTATTAAAGAGCCCTGAAATTCCTCCCACCTTTAACTTTGAGTTTGTCATCGTCACATAAGAAATCATATTCCAAATGAAAGTCCATGAAAGCTATTTTAATGCTCCTCTTGTTTCCAACCTCAATATTCCAGTAACAGTCTCTGTAGTTGGGATAGTCCTGGGGCCAATTTGGAGAGCTAATCACACCAGATGTTGCAGTGAGGGTCTTTGTTGAGGAACATTCCCCTTTTTCAGAAAAGAGACAAAAAATATTACAAATCAAACTCTATAACTATCATTCTAGTGATGTTATACTGGGACTGTTTGTATTAGCTCACGCTAAAAACGCAGCACTTGACTATTTTTAAGATGATTAATTTGCAGTTGTTGTTGATACATGTAATTGCAGTATAACAATTATATCACAGGCAAAGGCCATGACATTTAGCTGCTCCACAGCCCCTCTCTAAATAGTTATTGGTAATCACCTCTGAGCCAGCGTCTCTTTTAGGAAAAAAAGACTAAACTTATGGTACAACAAACAAAAAAACAACCCAAGAAAAACCTGTCTCTGTATTTGTAGGTGTATACAGTGATAAATATATACATATCTATATATATATATATATATATACTTTTTTTGAGCAGATGACCTACTAACTATATGTGGTTTGCTTTAAGGCACTCAATAAAACTAGGATGAAATGGAGCTATCTTAGGTAAAATAAAAATAAAACAATAGACCCTTAATTTTCATACGTAAGTCTTGTTATCAAGAGCATTACTCACAAGTACCAGTAAATCATAATGTAGAGATCACGCATATATTGATAAATAAATAAAACCAGGTGATTAATAGAGTTCGTGTAGCATGCACACAGTGAAATAAATGCAAACAGAACTGTTTATTATTTTTTTGACAGCTTTGATTGCATACCTCCTACACCACTTTGACGACCTGTGAATCTCATAAAACAGTGGTATGTCAGTTAATGCAGTTTGTACTTAACATATTTAAATACATGAACATCAATAAAACCATATGATATACATATTATAGAGCATTACATACATGTATGGTATTCATTAAGGCAAAGAATGCCATCAATTATTAGAGACGAGATACATGATTATTAATCAAGACTGTTTGATGCATAAATTTTAATTTAAAAAAACTGTAACTATTGTTGTCTGCCAAATAGTGAAATTCAGACCATCTTCACAGCGACAGGATCAATCCCTTGCCCATAATAACATGAGTGTTGCATACATAACTAGAGCCATTTTTGCTGTTGTCATGTTCATTCTTCAACTTCAGATCAAGTAAAACATGTGATGGCAATTCACAGTTATGGCATAATTTAGTTTTTATAATGAAATTATTTTTAATAATTTGTTTATTTTGCTTATTTATCCTGTCAGTGTTATTTAAAACTACCCTTTTGAATTTTTTTCGAAGAGCTATTACTCCCAGAAGATGGTTCCAAAGTGGAAAAAAAATTGTGATGGTAATTTTTTAATTAAAACATTCAGTAGTTACCATGACTTTACATGAACCCCACTAAAATTTCGTAAATCACCAAGTCAGAAAAATGATATTTAGTCTCATTACAAGACTTTCCAGGTTTTCCATGATTATCACTGAGTACTCACCCATTACCACAGTTTCGGTTGTCAAGTACTGTGTCCTCCTCAATGCAAATTGTTTTGCATAAATTGTTTATTAATTAAGTAACATTACCATTTAAAAGGAATGATGAGTAAGACGCTTGAAATCCTTTGCCTCCACCAGAGGTATCTGTCTTGAAAACTAAGCGCAAGCAGTTCTCAGATGAGTAAACATCAAATGGCTTGTATCCATTTTCAGAGCAGTATTTTCCAATTGAATGTCTGGACACACATCCAAGGAATATCTCCACAGAATCTTCAAAACAGTTCGGCATTTCACCCCTGACATCAAATGCTGACCACAATAGTTTTATGCCATATTCACCTCCAACTTCAATGTCATATGTGCAATCCAACGAGTTTTTATAAGTTGAACGACTTGAGAATGATGGTGAGGATACTGTACCATTCGAACTTGTGTAATTTCCATCACAGAACAAGGATTCTATGAACACAGACAAAAGTAGTGAAACAATTACTAGTCACAGGACAATGTCATAAATGGTAAACAGAAAAGCCCTCATTAGACAAAGAACTTTTAATTTTTATGGTTGCCATGCCATTAAGCTCAATTTTTGCTAAAAATCTAGAAGGAATTTATAATTTAGATATTAAGAATAAAAAGTGTCTTACCAACAAGGCCAACATCCATTCCTAGAAACACTTAGAAAACAAATGAGAAAATCTGTTCATGAGAAAAATTCTGTAACAGCAATTTACAGGTAATTTTAAGCTAATTGACATTTGACAACCTTAAAATTAAATAAATTTCAGGAACTGGCAAATCTGTCGAGATATATGGAAAAAGAAGAACACTACAAAAATGTATCATAAAATATTTCTTAAACGAATGCATACTGCCTCGCATATATATAAAAAATATATATATATAAACATTCACAATACGTTTATTTCTCTTTAATACATTAATGAAAGATAGATTTACCTGTTATCGTTTGAAGAAATATTCTGTTCATATTGCATATATCAACTTGCACCATACAACTCAGAACTGCAGATTGAAAAAGAATGTTCAATTCTAATATTAAGATTGTTCATTGGGTACACAGCGCAAAACAGTTTAACGCGAACGAAAAAGAAAAAAAAATTAACTGATTATAAATAGCGACGCATACTCAGTATCACAGCAATACCCTGAAAATAGAGATTCACTTTTCCCCATCGATCTTAGTTAAAATCTGTGAATCAGTTCGATACCACTCGAAGTATATTCTATAGAGCTCCAAACTTAGTTTTATCCTTTTTTTTTTTTTTTTTTTTTTCAAATTTAGCCTTTGGTGACCAGAAATCATTCATTAGTCACTCAGAGAATCAAGAAGGGAAATAATGAACGCCTTATATTAATGAATGAGTTTGTATATGCAATAGTGTCATTACATTGGTTGACGAGCCGCCCTAAAAAGAGTTAAACTAATAGTCTTGGGTCCAAGTCGTGGGTCGTGAGTGTGGGTGTGGGTACAATTCGTTTCGGTAACAGTAATAGAGAGAACGGTTTTTTTCTCGTGAAACGTATTTTGGTTATATAGCCGTGAACGGTGAATCGCCTTTTTTTCATGGAAATCGGGATAATACTGTTTTTTTTTTCTCGCGAAACGTGACCTGGACCGTTATTGTTTCTCTTCCTTTAAGAAAATTATCCGGTAAGCGTCTCAAAACAAGACTGCGAGTAGAAACATGAATGTGACTAGCTGATCATCATTCTGGGCCCCAATTTTATCAGGCAATTTAACACCTTTTACCTTTGTTTCATATTGCGTGAAACGTGAATGGTAATTTTAGTTTTCGTGGAAAGTGATCTAGGACCCCCCACCCCTTACCATTCTCAATTATGGTCTAAGTTGACATAATTAACATGACATAATGTATACAAATTAAACAACCCTTCCCCAACTGTAAGGAGCCAGTAACAGGCCCCTGCCAATTGTAAAATATTATTGTTTATTCCAATAACATCACATCAGCTCGGTGAGACTACTATTTCATTGATTCACTTACATATCAGTAGTATATAATTAATTTAACCAATTTATTCCCGCCAGAAAATCTACAGTTAACAAGAATTAATTTTTAATGGTAGTACTATTAACACTATTGTTATTTCATATGAACTATTAACCACTAATTGTTAATTATTACCGACACGACTTGTACCCACACCCACGACCCACGACTTGTACCCACGACCCACGACCCACGACCATTAGTCAAACTCCTTTTAAATCACCCTTATCATTATGAAAATAAAAATGTTTCGGTGAAGCATCTCCCTTTAATTTGCCTCACCTTTATTTTAACTACCATTTACTCGCTCAAAAATTGTTCAGTTTATGGAAGATCTTGCCGTAATTACAGCCCTAAATCAATCGGGTTCTTTCGGAGAGAATTTTGTTAAGTTAAAAAAAAATATATATATATATATATATGTGTGTGTGTTACTTACCGGTTAAGGGTCGGTCTGTATCGTAAAAAACTGTGAATTCAGTCTTGAAAATGCTGCCTTCGGCCTACTGTGACCTCGGTCACCGTTTTTCACCATACGGACCTCCCAGCCGGCAAATAACATATATTTATGCGAATCTTTTTTTGTCAGTTTCAATGTAGATCACAAACACAAATAAACAAACATATTAAAGCCGGCGGGTGCAGGTGGCCAAAATGGTAACCCTAAATGCAAATTTTGTTAGCAGAACTTTTTTTCCAACACGCTAAAGCGACTAAAATGGCCACAGCTTGGGGTGTTCTGTTCAATGGCGTTATTTGAATAGTACACGGTCACAATGTTGGTCTCCTGAAGCCGATACATGTCAGCTATTGAACACGCGTATATTTTAACTTACAGTCCAGTTCATTTCATGTGTGATGAATATGTTACGAGATATGTAATATAATAAGAGATTACCTCAAGAAGCGATAGCTTAATTCCAGCGATGACCCGTTTTCAATTTAAGTTGAATTTTTACCAGAATTCATAACTTTCATAGGCCTCAAAAGGTACGTTTTACAGTCATACAAACAAAATGATACGAAATATTATTCTTCCTCAGCCGCTAACTGTCGAGATTCTTATGCCTTCCGAATTTGTTTACAACTAAGACCTTGGCATGGCTGTGTGAATATCGTAATATGGTAATTCATTTATACAGCTGCAAGTCTTTCGTGTTACGTTTTCAAAACTTCTTGCGTTAAAACTGCGTGGCATTTTATAATTTGAAATATAATTATCACCAGAAATTTCTAAATAAGCTTAAATCGAGCTTAAATCATTTGCTCTGATCACGATGAAGGGCTAACGCTCGAAACGTCAGCTTTATTTTGGTCTATTTACATTACCTTCCCAGTTGATAATACCAAATGTGCATTCTTATACCACCCACCAACGCAGCACCACAATTTTTTAAAGAAACTTATCTCTTTAATCATTAAAATCGATTTTAGTCGAGGTGTGCATCTAAAGAATAGTGAGTTCTTGCGAAGGCAGGTATTCTACATATCTAAAGCAAACAGCTGCTTGAAAAGAAATACGTGCTGAGAAAATAGTGCTCCTTCGAGTAGGATTTATTGCTTTACCTTCAATTTAATTTCCTAAGATTTGCTGGACCGTTAAACATATTTTTGCCCTTCCTAGTGCCTGCTGATAAGAAAAATTCATGGGACCAAATTTGAGATAGCGGAAGAAAACTCAAAATTGCAAATAGCGAGGAAACTACTTTCGTAACCCCCTATTTTTTCAGCCTTTAAATGATCGGCGGGAAAAAATTTCTCAAATTGTGAAAATTTTGAGAGATTTCGCGGAAGAAAATTGAAATAAATCAAAGGCAGAGCCAAATTATTACTGGCGGGCGCCTCCATTCGTGGAGCCCTGGCTTAGTCACGAAAATCATTTTGATAATATTTACTACAGTAAACGATAGTCCGAACCTTGCTGATCCCCTTTTGATAGCTTTTAGTGACCTTGAAAAGCAAAAACAAAAATTTTTTTTCGAAAAACATTGCGCTGGCGCGCGCGCCAATATTGAAAAAATACCCCATAGAGCCTCTTTAAATCATTCGCTCTGATCACGATGAAGGGCTAATGCTCGAAACATCAGCTTTGGTGGCCGATTTACATTACCTGCCAAATTGATAACTACAAATGTACCTTCTTATGCCGCCCACCGACGCAGCACCACAATATTTTTTAGAAACTTACCCCTTTAACAATCAAATCGAGTTTAGTCGAGGTGTTCATCTAAAGAGTTGGTGCGTTCGTACTACGGGTAAGTCTTAAATGAAGAGAATGATGACGAAAACATCCCTCCTTCATCTGTTGCAAGCTGTCCGAGACCTTCCAATAGGCCACTTCGGAGTTCTCGCGGTTCAGTGATCTGGTGCCGAAATTACAGCCCGAGGACGAGGCTATGTGAAAAGTCGTTCTCGTCAGTATAAAGAATAAAGTGCCCTGGGGTGAAGATGAGAGAAATGTCTCGAAATTCAAGGTAAGAGAGTGAAATATTATTTGTGAGAGAGGTATTCAGTGAAGTGATGGCGGCAAAGGAAACAATAAGCTGAACTGTTTGATTCACGCAAGTAAGCTGCAACAGTGAGGGGATCAAAATTGCCTCTTCTGCCAAAGACCCCAAAAAACCTGATGAGAGTGAGAGCAAATTTCTAGTACCAAAAATTTTATCCTTTATACCAATGAGAGCGACTTCAGATCACTGAAACGCCTATTTACGCACTTCACTTCGTGCCACCCATCAGGCGTTAAGGGCCTTTTGAAATTCCAATAACGCCTCAAAGCAAGAGGGTACCCAGAAAACATCATAGAAAGGTCTCTGTCAGGGGTCAACTTTGCCTCTAAACAATCGGCTCTTACACATACACGAAAGCCAAAAGATCACGAACGTTCATTGTCTTTTGTCACAACGTACCACCCGGCAGTTAAAATTCTAAAACAAATATTGATGGAACATTGGGGTCTGATACCCAATCAGCCCTTGCTGAAAATAATTTCTGCAAAACCTCAGATCATCTCTGGCAAAAAGTGAAAAACCCTTAAAAAGACATACTTGTGAGAGCAAAACTAAAATTTGAAGGCGATAATGCGACGCGACCAAGGAAGCCACATGAGAAGTCCGCGTCGGTCTGTCTTTACCTTTATTCTCATGTTTTACTTCATAAAAAAGCAAAATGTCATTAATGGTGACGTCATCTGTTCTCTAATAGATCAATATGTTCCAAGACATATGAAACACTTTCTTTGATGTACACTGTTTGAAAGATTAAGTGTTTTGGTTAAACCGATATTGGTAACACAGGTTGACTGACTCTATAACCACTTACCCTTTCCTCAAGGCTCTCCTTCCGATTTCTTGGTTATATGATATACTACCCTTACGGTTACTATGTTGCCTATCTTATTTCTACTCGCTCTATATCCGACACAGAGAGTTTAATTTATCATAAAATCACCATTATCATATTCATTATTAACAATATACTCGTTATTGTTAGCGTCTATTTTATAAACCAGATCTTTTCTTTTTCTTTTCTCAATTCACACTTCTTATTTTGTATATTTATTTTCCAATGTTGAACACGAATTAATTAGCAAAATGGAAAAATTATGCAAAAGATGGCGATCGTGATCTTTCTCCTTCACTTTTCTCGTATTGATAGCTGCAAAAAAATCCCCAAAAGCCATCCACAATGATCACACTGCAATATAAGACATTATAGGAAAAGTTGGTTCAGAATTGTTAGTGCTTTGTAAAGTTCTTTCAAATAATGCAGCCGAGCGTGGTGCGTACACTGTAATATTCCTGTCATTATGTCACTGCATAAGAAGCCATACTTATTTATTTTACTTTCAGTCCATGTAACAACGTCTGCCTTCGTTTACAGTGTTGTTACTCCTAGTGTTGCAACGCAGAGTGATCTGCCAAGAGTGATCTGCCTTTGGAATGAACAGTTAAAT